AGCTCCTGGAAAAGCAGTTTAGCAGCATAAGGAAGTCTCACTTGCGATATCTGCGTCTTATTTTTGCACCCCTTGCACTCAAACGTATTATTCCTCAAATTGGCAATAGCAATCAGCCCACAGAAATTACAAATATGAATCCTGTAAGGATCAGAGACCTCGAAGAGTCTCTCCCTGAGGAACTGAGCAGCCCCATGAGAGATCTGGCAGTCCCGTTCCATCTCCCCAAAACGCAGACCGCCATCCCTGGCACGACCCTCCATGGGCTGCCTGACCAGGATCTGCACAGGACCCCTGGCCCTGCTATGAATCTTGTCATCCACCATGTGCTTCAAACGTTGGTAGTACGTTGGACCCAAGAAGACCTGAGCATTGATCTTCCTCCCAGTGTGGCCATTGTACATCACCTCATTCCCCCTCAACTGGTACCCATACTCCTGAAGAAGAGTCGAGATCTTCTGCACATTGACAGCATCATTGAAAGGAGTTGCATCACCAATCTCCCCCTTATTAGAGGACACCTTCCCCTGAATGCACTCGATCAAGTGACCAATGGTCATACGAGAGGGGATAGCGTGAGGATTGATGATAATATCTGGTGTCAATCCTTCACAAGAGAACGGCATGTCCTCCTGCCTGTACTGTATCCCACAGGTACCCTTTTGCCCATGTCTAGAGGCAAACTTGTCCCCAATCTGTGGAATTCTCACACTCCTCACTCGAATCTTACAGAACTTGTAGCCTTCACTGTTCAAAGTCAGCATCACCTGGTCCACAATTCCAGTCTCACTGTTCCTGAGGAAAGTCGAGGCGTCTCGTTTTGTGAAGCGCTTGGTGGTGCTGTCAAGTTCATCGTCAGCCTCTGGTAGGGTTATCGTTTTTCCAATAACCACGTCATCCCCGGAGACACGAATGCCAGGGGCTATTATCCCATCCTCATCCAGTTTATCGTAGATTGCATTCCTCATGCCTTGACAGGTTTGCCTGGTTGGCTTTTCAAACTGCTCTTCTTGATCTCCAATTCTCTTGGACTCTGCATCCTTGTAGGATCGGTAGAAGACGGATCTGAAGAAGCCCCTCTCAACAGCACTGGCGTTGAGAATAACACTGTCCTCCTGGTTGTACCCAGTGTAACAGAGAATGGCGACGATGCTGTTGATTCCAGCTGGGAGCTCTCTGAATCTGAGGTACTCCATGGACCTAGTCGTAACCAAGGGTTTGTGGGGATAATAGAGGACATGAGCAAGCGTGTCCATCCTCACGTGGAAGTTGGTGATGTAGACCCCCATGGCTTGCTTACCCATAGCACTTTGGTAAGTGTTCCTGGGGCTCTGGTTGTGATCAGGGAAGGGGATAATCGAGGCGCACACTCCGAGGATCATGGCTGGATGGATCTCGCAGTGAGTGTAAGTGGTGCAGTAAGCATACTCCTTGTCCTGTCGCAAGTCCTCTGGGGACATGGCAATCATCACTGTCTCCTCCTCCAGAGTGTCGATGTACTCGACCACTCCAGAGCCCACCAGCTCCTGCCAGCCATCGTTGTTGTAGTCCCTCTCCTTCAGCATGTCAATGTGTCTCTTCTTCAACAACAACTGCTGGTTCTCGACGATCAGCAAGGGTCTACTGATCCTCCCAGCGTCTGTGTAGATCCTGATCTCTCGGTCTCTGATGTCCCTGATCATAGACACCTCGGAGACGATGATGTCCATCTGACGTCGAAGCTTTCGTAGTGTTGCCATCAGTTGGTCGGGATCTCGGTGGATGCCCACCCAACAGCCGTTCACAAAGATCTTGGTGGCATCTGCGATGGCACTGGGAGCTATCTCCTCGAGATTCTCCATGGACCACTCCTCCAAGAACTCGAGGATCGGTGATGGCTGGGAGCCAACGCTGATGTACGCCATGAGGGCGAGGTTCTTCACGAGACCAACAGCAGCTCCCTCTGGGGTCTCAGCGGGGCACAACATTCCCCAGAGGGTGTTGTGGAGCTGTCTGGGTTTGGCGAGCTTGCCATCACGACCGATTGGAGAGTTCACTCTTCTCAAATGGGAGAGGGTCGATGCAAATGTCAGTCTGTTCAATACCTGAGACACTCCGGCTCTTGCTTGGTGAGCCTTCTTCTGGTCTCCCCAGTTGCCAGTGGCCAGGGAGTACCGCAGACCGTCGGTGATGATCTTTGTTTTGATCGCCAGCTCGAGGTTGAAGTCCTTCCCGCGGTCGATGAACTTCTGGGCGTACATTCTCACTTCTTTCATGAGGTTCTTGAATAGACCTCGGAAGAGGAAGGCCAGGAGGGGACCCGCGAGGTCGAGACGTTTGTTCCCGTAGTGATCACGATCGTCGAGCTCTCGGCGACCCAGGGCTGCTGACAGGAGACGGTGCACCATGTATCTGCAAATAATAGTTTAGAAGTACTTCGTAAAAGAGATTTTTGAGGTCGTTATGATTAAAAATTTCGGAAATTAATGATGAGTTGTCGAAAAATTAATAATTCTGTGTCAAGGGCGATTCAGATATTACGTCACATGTTTTTCGGACTTTCTAAACCCCCTTCCCCCCCACACTGAGAAACATTTTCTAGAAAAATGCATGTGCTAGCACCATAAAAGTCAGAAGTTGAACACTGGGAAAAATTATTGTGTAGCACCAGAAAAAGTGTCATGCTACACCAGAAACATTATTATATAGGACCAGAAGAATTATCGGTCAGTACCGGAAAAATTATTGGGAGCGCCATAATTTTTCTGGTGCCGCACGAAAATTTTTCTCCATCCAGTCACAAGCCGTCAAAACCACGGATCATATTTCCCTCTTAGCAGAATAAACCAATAGGTTTAGATGGTAAAATAAGAAAAAAATATTCTCTTGATAAATTCTTGAAACTGTCAGAATGATTAAAATGTAACGGAAAAAAATATACTTGAATTGAGTAAATTTTATACTAGAATCAAGTATATGCATAAACCTGGTTCAAGTATATCAGTAGCGAAGTGGTAAAAGGAGATAAGTCAATTTTGACTATTGACTAGTTTTCAATCAATATCTCGGAATTTAAGGGAGATAGCAAAATTTTTGTTATAACCTTTTTTGTGGAACCGACTGAGTGCTACAACAAATGTAATTACGAAAATTTCGCTATCTCCCTTAGATTTTGAAATATTCCTCAAAAACTCAACTGGGAGATAAGTCGACTTATCTCCTTTTACCACTTCACTACTGATATTATTCTTGATTCAAGTATATTTTATATGGTCAATTCAGGTATATTTTTTTCCGTGGTGAGGCACATTTACGTGATATTGTCATTCAGTCTTCATATTCCCTCATTTTACCCAATAAAAAAATATCACATAGTGATCCAAATGATACATTGACTGTGATCTTCAATCAAACTTCAATAGGGTAAACAGGTCAATTTCTGGACGGGGATAAGTTTCTGGACGATTTCAACTTGCATTGAATATTCCCTAAATAATATGAAAACTGTACTGATTATTTTACCTTTCAATAATATCACTAGTGTAGAATCATATGATAAATTATTTTTTCTATTAATCGACATTTAATAAATAAAAAAAAATATAACCCAATGGTCCAAAAATTAGGCGTTTCGGCTGCATTCAACTATTTCTTAATTGAATTATTCTTCGTTTTGTTATTTTCACATCAAATAATTTTTTTCTGCTAATTAAAACATTCTTGAAGGTATAGAAGCCATCATATCCCATTGTGACGATTCTGTTATTTTAGATCCTACTACGAAACTCGAATTTCCCTCAACCATCCAGCAATTGGCCTGTCCACCCCACATCCTCCATAAAAAACAGCCAAAAAAACTGCACATACCCAAGAAAATAAGCCTTCTTCGTCTCACAAAAGTCGCTGATTCCCACATGGGGCAGCATTTCCTTCTGCAGAATTTCCCTCGCATACTTGATACGTTTCTCCTTCGTGACACCAGGCTTAGCTCCCCTGGTACCAATGAAGTTCAACGCGACATTCTGCTCCTGAACAACAAAGGCCTCATCCAACGACGGCTTGACCATCTCCATCATCTCAGGATCATCGAAATCATAGATAATGTGTTCCAGGATGTCCCTGTCAGCCACGAACCCCAGAGCCCTGAAGACAATCATAATGGGAATCTCCTGTTTCACGTAGGGAAGAATGGCAATGATCCTCTGACCAATCGCAGATTTTTTTATGCTTGCTCCACTCTTCGCCATCATGTTGATCCACAATGTCGAGGTGGGACGAGAGCTGTGTTCCAAGCACGAACGAATCTCAGCTTTGTACGCGAATTTTCCGTCCTTCATGCTGAAGACGTAAACAGTGTTGGTGGCCATTTTCTCCTGGGCAATGAGAACCTTCTCTGAACCGTTTATGATGAAGTAGCCCCCAGGGTCCAGAGGACACTCATTCAACTCCGTCAGATCACGATCTGAGAGACTGGCGAGTAAACAGTACTTCGATCTCAACATGATTGGGATTTTCCCTATGAATGTCTTCTGGTGCTGGGTCTCCACAGGATCCTCACCCTCCTTCACGATTGTCTTCGTGATGTCTACGTAGAGAGGAGCTGAGTAAGTCAAGTTTCGTAGACGCGCCTCGTTGGGCATCATGGGGGAAGGTGCACCGTCCTTCTCCCAGTGGGTGGGTTTTGACAGGTAAATTTGCTCGAATTTGAGGAGATGCCTGATGGGGCTCTCGATTTCGCCGGATGTGTGCTGGGCCTCGGCCTGGAGGTCGATCTGGGGGGAGTCCTCGACGATCCTCTGGACGGACATCTCGATGAACTCGTCGAAACTGTCCAGCTGCTGACGCACCAGACCCTTCTCGTCGAAGTAGGCGTTGATGACGATCCAACAGGCCTCCTGCCACAGCTTCGAGGAGATCTCCTCGGGATCGTCATCCTCGTACTGCTCTGGACCGCCTGGAGGGTATCCCGGTTTTTAGTGTGAGGTTAGTCGAGGGGTTTGAGGAAAGTATCGAGTTACTTACCTTCGTCCGCGTACATCTTTCAGAGTCTAAATAGTTTGTTTTGTAATTGTTGTGAATTTGGGGGAATGTTCACTTGTCGAGGGGTGGAAAACGGTACAAACTCAACAAAACTGACGCGCAGTGTATTCTAGTGTATTACGGTGTTTCGGAGCAGACGGCGAGTTATATAGGCGTCAATTGAGGGTTTAATGGAGGGACGAGGGATGGCGTTAGGTGTATGGACTCTGTCGGTGTGGTATGAACTGATGGATGGCAGGGTTGAACGAGTAAAATACGGGTGATGGTAATCTATCTAGTTTTCAAACTGAAAAAAAGCAAGCAATTTACCGGAGCGGGTTTAGTAGGGATGGGCGATGTTTTAAAAAACATCGATATTGTGAATCGATTTTTCTGGAAAACACATAAATTTTTCATTAATTGAGGTTTTTTCCCCAAAAATTGAAATAATTTTTTTCTTCTCGTTTTTATTAAAAAATATATACTAAAAAAATACAACCGGAGGAACTTACGTTTCAATGATAAGTACTGCCGGAGAGTTAAATTTTGAACCTCGAAACAGGTTTGTTGATTAATTGAAAAAAATGTATTGAATATTTTGCGTGGCTGGACGTCAATTGCAATAATTATTGAAAATTTGAATTGAAAAAAATTTAAAAAATTCAATTTAAAAAACAATAGACGACTGGACTTGTTCACTTACTATTTATAAGGTACATAGGGGAGGGTAGGGTAAAATGGACACTTTGGACTTTTTAAAAAATATTCATAACTCAGAACCAAATTTATCAATTGAGCTCAGTCTAAGCTCATCACAAAGAGGAATCATTGTTTTTCAATTGAAAAATAAAATTATTTCATTTCATAAACAATTCAACACGTCATAAATATTTCAAAAAAAATCAAAAGTGTCCGTTTTACCCTACCCTCCCCTACTGTAGAAAATAATTACTTCCGATTGCGGATAAATTATTAATTTTTTTCTTCTCAATCAATCAATATTATTATTCGATAAAAAAATGAAAAATTTTGTTAGCTTGATCAAAACTATCAATGTTTGGGTATGAAAAATTTGTTTTCGATTAATCGACAAACATCGTCCATCCCTCGGTTTTAGACTATTTGAAATAGTTATAGGGCTCTCCCATTTTGCCTCGCGCGGGTTAAACGTTGCCAGGGTCAAACGAGAAAGGCAAACAGGACAATCACAAGGGCCCAATGATCATGAGGCTCGATCGCGAGAAGCAGGCAGGTAAATAGCAAGGATCAAACGATCATATAAAGAGCGAAATATATGAGAAAAGTCTCCCGTTTGACCCGTGTCCTACTTGCCTCTCCCAGTTGACCCTTGAGGGGAGTTATCCTGCTTGTACTCGGTAGTTTAACTCTTGTGACGTTTGATCCTGGGAAGTGTGACCCTAGTGACGTTTGACCCTCGCAAGGTATGACCCTTGTGAGCCATGATAGTTACGTTAGGGAGTCTTGGCCCCGTTATTTCCCTTTTTACCATCCACAGGCAAATTATCAATATTCTACTGTATACTGACTGCTGGTATTGAAGCGAGATATTCTTATTGACGCATGGAAAGTGGGGAGGGTGGTAGAAGGGCTCAGTAGATTTGAACTCATTGTGTCAGACCAATGAGGGAGATGAATCTTTCTAGTTAGAAGATAGGTCGATATAAACGGTCTTTATTCAGTCTTACGATAAAATCATCCTTCAAGGACAAACCAATCGAATACATAATTTATAATGTTCCTATTGAATAAAATGCGTTTGGCTAACAAACATTTAATGTTCAATTTTTAACAATTTTTGACATTCTAAAGCCTCAACTTGAGACATTCAGAACTCGAGTTGAAGATTAGAAGTCTCAATTGAAGACGGTGAACGTTAGAATTTAGTATTTTCTGTCATTCTTTTCTGTAAAAACTTTTCTAGCTCATATGATTGCAGCCTTCGCCTTCGGCTCGGGTTGAAAACTCATATTCACCAGAAAAGTTTTTTTCGGCCTAATGATGAAATATACTATTTTGTCAGTAAGCCTAAAGAAGCTTTTCTGGTGAATATGAGTTTACAGCTCGAGCCAAAGGTACACTGAGAGAAAAATTTGAAGTTCAATTTACAATAAGAAAATAGTTGAGGCAGTTTAGGTGAACGATACGATTTTTTTTTGTATGCGGCACAACATTTTAGTAACTTCACAAGCGTAAGTTTTGCAAATCAAAATGCAGTTAAACTAACCAAAGTTCAAAAGAAACCACGACAAATCTATCGTGAGTAGAACTATAAAATAGTTGCAATGACTACATTCCATTGTAGTAATTACTTCTCCGGTCATAGTTACCGTAACCCATGAAAAATTGTTGAGGACTTTTTGACTATAATTCGATGGTGATGGAATAAACTCAGAAGAATCATATTTTTCTCTCAGTGTAAGTGCTGGAATCATGTGAGATTTTTTTTCTTTACGTAAGCATTAGAGACCTCAATACGACGTCTATTAGCTAATTCCATAAGCATAAACATTTTCTGTTATAATTGCCGTAGGCAGAGATTCGCGGACGTCGTTCGTCCGGAGCGACAAATATAATTGTTTAAAATTCTGTTTCAGCCATAAAACCTTCATATGAGTTCAACCTTTTTTAAAAACTCAAATTAAGAGTTTTGAGCAGACTCTTGTTACGACCATTGAAATCTTGGTGCAGGATTTTTTTTGGGTGTTGACTATCTGGAAATTAGCACGATCGCATTATTAGTACACTAGTTTAGAAAATGGTAGTATTAATCAATGTAAGATTTACAGACCGAGCCGAAGACGAGGTTTGCAATTACATTAGTTAAAAATAATGTTTACCAATGAGTGCGTTTCGCGCTTTTGCGTTATCCCTTCAGAAAGTAGCGTGAGTCATATTCGGTTTTGCACCCAGTGACGCAAAAACTCTTTCATGCACGGAGAGACATTCTTTAAAAAAATTCGAGTGTAAATACTGGAAAAAATCACAATCCACCAGCTGCGAAAAATTCTAGTGCTGTTAAAGTAAAATTTCTAGGGCTTTTTAGTAAAACTTGTGGAGATTTCAGTGAAAAATTCATTTAAGTATGAAAAAATTGACGTACTACCCAATAAAATAGTAAAAAAAATAACCAATAAATTTACCAGTGCCAATACTGGCATTGTTCTCTGCACTTTTGAAAATTTTCCATTGAAATATCCGGTAAGAATCTTGGAAATTTCTAACAAGTAACGTATCCACTAAAATTACAGGGAATTTTGTCATTGAAAGTTTATAATTTCATGAAAAAATCCGTGGGAACTGTAAGTCTCAGCGCGTAATTATTCCTGAAAATTTAATGAAAAATCAGGAAAATTCAGAGAAACCTCTCCTCGAATTCTAGATTCTTCTGAATTTTTAAGGAATTTTTTCCAAAATTCCGGGAATTCCACTAATTTTTAAAAAATTCCCTGAAAATTCAAGGGAATTTAGCAGTGAATATTCACTTCCACTTGAAAATTCATGTAACTTGTGGAATTTTCGTCTTCCGGACGCTAAAAGAGGGAGTTCACTGGAATTTTCGAAGAAACTTCAAATTTCATTGATTTCGTCCCCTTTAATCGAATTCAGAGACTTTTTTCAGAAGAATCAGCCAAATTTGTTTTACCGTGCGGCCGTCACACGGTGAGAAATTTTCTAGAAAAATTCTAGTACGAGTACTGGAAAAAATCACAATCTACCGGCTGTGAAAAATTCTAGTGCTGTTAAGATAAAATTTCTTGGTATTTCTGGTAAAATTTCTGGGGATTTCTGTGAAATTGTCACAGAAATACGGGGAGAAATTCACGTTTTCCCCAATAAAATTTCTAGTGCCGGCACTAATTTTTTTTCCTGGCCGTCAGTTTGTGCCTCTTTTCCCGTGCTAGCACTAGAATTTTTCTAAAAAATTTCTCTCCGTGCACTTTGCGCCCTTTTTCCCGTGCTAGCACTAACATTTTTCTACACTAATAGAATGATTCATTTATTCCAAACGAGATTCGTTAACTATTAACGAATGGTAGAGTTGAATATGACCAAATGAATATTCGTTAATAGTTAACGAATGGTTCACTTGAATGGCGAAAGTCAAGTCAAACAAGGCTCCTCCAATTAATTATTAACGAATGAATATTTGGTGAGACCGAATAGACCCTAACCTCCAACCAAAATCCATTCGTTAACAATAACTAATCCGTTCTATCAGTGTAGAGAATGTCCCTTCGCGTAAATTGCTTGAGCCAAATCTATATCAACTTCAATTTGAAGTTGATATTGAAGTCTTCAATTTTTCCCAAAACTTAAAATAAAAAAATATCCACCATCCAATCACTCTCAACACCTCCCCCCCCAAAGCCACTCCCCCAAGAAAATGTAAACACAAAATTCCTCAGTCCCTCTGTAAACTCGATAAGAGTCTGAAATTACCAATGAACGAGGCGCGTCATTATCACCGCAGTTCCTTTTGCAATCCTCCACTCGGGTTTAAACCTCCACAGCATCAACCCTTCGGGGCAATCAGCCGTACGCAAAGCGGACAACTCCGAAGTGAACCTCCGAGCCCTCCTCCCGAAATCCCCCATCCTCAGCCCCCCCTCTCTTTTTCGGCAATTTCGGTACAGAAGCCGTTGGAATCGGCAAATGCCTGTGGGTTGAGACCTTAATTGACTCGAGGTAATTATTTTATTAAGTGAGAAGATGGCGGATGGAATTCTAAAGCGCAGTATGAATCTCTTCAAAAACATGGAAGCCACTTGACGTTATAAACGAAATAATAAAGTGCCGAGTTTTCACGACTGTCGACATTATACACCGCAAACGTTTTCCTTCACATTCACATACCCTCACTTTACAAATGTGCAAATGACTGCGTGTAAGTTTCATGGTAACTGGGTGGATGAGAGTGTGAAACACGCCAGCGCAATGAAACTCGCTCACCGTCGCCAAGGAGGAACATCTATTACCCCCCCCCCCCCCCCCCCCCCCCC